AGGGTGGGCTAGGATCACACAGTGAAACACAAGCTGACCACAGGAAGGGTTTGCTGGCCTGAGATGGCTGTGTGGTCCTCTCTGAACATGCCCTCGGCACAGCGGCACTTGTCACAAGCCCACCAATAACTTGCCATCAGCCCGGTGGCCGGTCGGTGGACAAAAACGGTCGCCCAAAGTCCAGGAAGACGAAAGCTAAGGGCCTAAAGAAATTGATGGGGCGCTTGTTTCCCCTGCTCTTCAAACAGCTCAGAGGAGCACGTTCATCTTCTCAAGACACCTGCTGATTTCTTACCATCTGTTTCTTTCCTTTTAAAAGAAAACCTCAAAGGAACCGGTGACAACCGGTATGTTTCCTTTATTGTTGGTTTGTTCTTCTGTTTATTTATTTATTTTAAACTAGTGCTCTTGGCATTTAATGCATAGACCATACAACTCAGTAAGCAGTTCAATCATATTAAGAAGAGTTGGACAGTCATCCCCACAGTCAATTGTAGAACATTTTCTTCTGTTCCTGTACCTGTTATTAGCTCCCTACCCCACCTGCCATACCTCGAAGAAACCATCGATTGGATCCGGTTTATTTCTTCAGAGAAAGAGTATTCAGAAAGCAGCGGGGACACCCGTGGCTGCTCTGCTCATGGTCAGCATGAGAGGAGGAGGGAGGCAGAGAAGACGGGGAGCACTCGGTCTCAAGCAACAGTTGACTCTAATGGGTGGGGCTGAGTTACGCCAGCTCTCCAGTACCACGGGGCTCACCCTCCGGGCTCAGTGCTAACTGTGGCATCCCCCAAAACAAACTCGTGCCATCGAGTCGATTCTGATGCACAACCTTTCCATATAGGGGTTCGAACAATGTGAATCAGTGCTTCCCAAAGTGGGCAGCACAGCCCCCTGGGGGACGCTGAAGTGGTGCAGCTGCTGTAAAAGGCGATACTGTATCCTGGACTATGGGCTACAGTGCAAACATTTCTCATTGCCTGGGAGGAGTGTGGGGGTAGGGCACTGAGTAATTTCTTTTCTGAAGAGGGGGCTGTAGGCCTAATAAGTTTGGGAGCCTATGTTATAAATCTTTACAAGAACAGATAGTCAGATAGTCTCACCTTTCTCCCAAAGTACAGCTGGTGGGTTCAAACCACCAATTTTGAGGTCAGCTGTCCAGTGCTCACCCGACAGCTCCACCAGGATGGAGAGAAAGAAATTGGCCACCGAGTGGTAAGGCACCTTTGCCCGAAGTCTTTAGCCCCTTCTGATGTTAGACTCCTCTAGGACAGAAGTCCACAGAAGGACCAGATAACTGAGGGAGGACCCTACAGCCTTCTACTTGAGGCTTGAGGTATGCAAGGTCTGTTTTCTGTTTTATCCAGGTTGGTTTTATAAGTAAGGACTGATATTTGTCCATGACAGAGGAGGTTTAACACCATAGATTCCCCTCTGTCACTAGTTTTCTAATTCTGTCGATGTTTTAGGACTGCATTTGTGTTGTTACTATTTCTTCTGTCGTTTTCATGTCTGGAGCATCAAGGGCAGACGAAGGATTTTAATAGACATCAGTCCTAATGACCAACCCCCTCCCCTCCCCCGGGGTGACTGCCTTGCCCTCACAGGGGTGGCCACATCCCTGCCAAGTGACTCCAGAAACATCCTCAGAACTTTTGGCTGCTCTACTACGACAGGGACACTCACAGTTTCCTGGCGAGGATTCCTTTATAATTTGGGGTCTCATGGAAAACAGGGTATCCTGGACTACTTGCACCCTGTTTCCTTGTTTATTCTTGGGGTGAGTTGAATGGTGACACCCCCACCCCCCACTTCAAAACAAAACAAAACATCAAGTTCGCAGAACTTGGGGATGGGAACTTATTTGGAAAAAAAGGTCTTTAGAAGCATCTTAAGGTAAGGATCTCAAGAAAAGGTCAACGTGGATTATCCAGGTGGGTGCTAAGCCCCATGATAAGTGTCCTTCTAAGAAACAGAAGATGGGAAGGTAGGTAAAGGCAGAGGGAGAGACTGAAGTCACGCTGCAGTAAGCGAGGGCATCCATGAAGTTTCCAGGAAGAAGCCGTTTCCCTACAGCCTCAGGGAAAGCATGGCCAAGGCTACACTTTGGGTTTGGAAGTCATGCCTCCAGAACTGTGAAAA